GTTTCTTCGGATTTTTGCTGGTTTAGTCGTTGTGGTTTTTTGGAGTTCCTAGGTCAGTGTGGCCAAAGTCTGCCCCATGTCGTTACCACCACAGGCAGTGGTCGGCTTTTGTGGATCACAGGAAGATTTGCCACCATGCGACTAGTTTTATACCAGGGCGGTGGTGTATCTTGGTATTGGCTTGTCCTTAGCTGGACTTCCTAATGAAAATGCCGATCCCATCTCAGCTTGGGAGACTCTACCGGGAGTCAAATCTCCTCTGTGCACATGGCGGCCCGACATCCAGGAACACTTGCCATCCACGATGAGGAAGTAAACCGTTGTGAGAAATTATTCACTAGGTGTTTAATTTTTAAAAAATGGAAGTCACCAAAAAAAGCAGAGATTTTTCTAAAAAAATCTCGAAATATCCATAATGATGGCGAGCTAATTGTAAAACTCCAGACCGCAAGTGTATAGCCTCCGAGTACTTTAAAAGTGTATATGTCCATTTTCTAGACTACCAACTACAGTTTTCGCATGTGGTTTTGAACTGATACCACTTGACAGTGATACCGTAGTAGTTAGGCACTCCACCAGTGAGCATTATTCCCCTTTGAGAAATTATCCTATAGTCTTGATGATAAATGACGAGTGGAATGATTGAGGTGGTGGTGTAATGGTTTTTAAATAGAATACCGCAACTGGTATTTTTTTCAGCTCGAAATCATCCTCAGAGTTTCTTCTCCTCTTTTTGATTACAAGCTATAAATTTTATTTGACTAAAAATACTTTCTCGGAAATTTTAAAGACAACTTCCACAAATTTGAATTTAGTCTGCTTTGACTGTGAGAGATTTTCTTTGAGTTATCATCAAAGAAGTTTCCATCGTAGTAAGTCCCATAGTGAACAAAGTGTGTTGATAAAAAGAACACACTGCTTATATTTTCTATGATGCCCATGTAGTCTAGGAAATTTAGAGTATATCCGGCAGGCATATACACACGCATGCAAGCACCTGTACAGCTTGTTGATATACGTACATACACGCCTAAACACACACCCAAGCACGCCCGCGAACTGACACCACCTATCTCACCTCAGTTCCCAAAGCATTAGCATCCACTTGCGATTCCTACAGTAACTCTAAAACTGGGTTACCTTGCTTTTTCATGGTGATATAATTCAATTCGACCGTTCAGAGAGAATTTAAAATTTAATCAGAAAAAGACATAACCCCAATTTAAGAAGAGTTGCGGTGTACCGTAACCGTAGAACATTTTACATACAGAACGCTTTCGTTATTTTTGTAAATCGATCTAGTGGTTTATTTCCACCAAGTTCGTTAGCTTTTAACATTGTTTCTTTATGCACCACAGATACTCTACTAACTATTTAGACATAGAACTCCAGTAATAAGTACAAGTGGAATCCAGGTTGTTGAAAAACGTCAAGGTTTAAAAAAAGGCTTAAAATAGTGGTTCGACGAGTTCCTATCCAATTAGACATAGTTCATCAAAAAAAAGCTTTTTACTCAAATTTGCTTAAATTTTCTTTATTCATGTTTATTCGATGTCACCTTCAATGACAAATCGTGTAAGACCAGGTACACGTATTGTTCCGTTAGCCGAATTAATCGCAATCTGGTTTGGTTAAGGCCTTATCCCAGCAAGTTTTGTTTAGCACCTAAAAAAGGCTTTTTTAGTTATTTATTTAATTTGAATGCATGCTTCAGCATTTATTGAGATAAACTGATGAAAGCATGGAATCAATCCACTCCGGGCTACGGTAGCACCACGGGCTTCGCGTTTCTTAGAAGGGGAGCTCGAGTGAAAAATCTAGTGCGTGAGAGCAAAATTATAGGTGTACTAGTCCAGCATAGATCATTCATTATCAGCTGTACAGTAATCAACTGGGCTTGTGCATATAAGTATGTGCGTATGTGTGTATGCGCATTTGGGTGTACGCGCGTGTCCAAATAAGAGTGTTAGGACAATCGGTGTATATGTATAGAACATGTTGATAGATGAGCGTGCATGGGTATGTGTATGTGTGAGTGTATATGCATGTGTATGCGCTAGAACAAGAAAAATTTCAGTCATGTTGTTCCACAGTGTTTGCCCTCCTCGCACATCCGCCACTGAGGACCACGACGGCGGCGGCGTAGGCGGGCCGTTGGATGGATGGCGGGCGCGACTGGCGGTTCCTTTTATGTTCGTGCCGCCAAAGGCCGAGATAACCAACTCTCAACCACCAACTACATGTATAGCACCATGACTAAAGCCGGATTAACTTTGACTTGAGTGGCTCAAAATCAAGGGAACCAACAAGCCAGACATCCTACCAGCCAACTCAGCTGGTCACCCTCAAAGCGTCGGTTTGATTAATGACAAACATCGAGTACTGTAGCGAATTTTCTCTGGTGAAATTGGCCAGCGACTCCGTGAAGCTTGTCATCATGTTGTTTCGAACAGTAATTTTTCTTTTGAAGGTTCCTCCAAAAATTATTGGCTTTTGTTCGATCTATTTAAAAAAATAAAACATTTTCTAACATTAATGCATCTTATGAGTCATTCTAAAAAGAAGATTTTGCTTCACGCTTTCGTTTCATATGTGGTGGCTTATTGGATTTGATCCATTAACATGAGAATTAAAAGAAAAACGAACTAAAAAAACAAATTGAAATACCTTTTGTCCATGAAATCTAATTTGGAAACAAAGAAGCGTAAACACAGGTGTACAGGCCGTAAAGCTGAATTTTAGATTTTGTCAAGGAATACTCGAAGGGATCGCTCGCATAATACGAAGCCTGTTGAAAATATTGTGATAAATATGGGAAACTTGAAAATGAGCACATTCTGGAGCGACGACGAAGAAGTTGCTTGAGGAACACCCACGCAAAAGCACCCAGGATTTAAAGAAGATTTTGGAATTAGATAGAAACCAACAGAGTGGCAAAAACATTTTTTTGGTTTGAAAACTCCTATAGCGGTTTTCGCTGGAGACAAAAAGAAAAGTCTCATGTAATGAACGTCAAAAGAAGACCGTAATTAACTTGATTGTATTACATCATTAATCCTGGTAATGCTATTACACCTTCGAAGTGCGAGGTATCGACGAATATCGCGAACTCTAATATCTGATGACCTGTCAACGGAAATGATTACTGAAAAAGATCAGTTCTGCTGCATTATTAGATCCGACCTCAATTTGCACGAACCGAAAAATTGAAAAATTCGGTTTGGGAAACCATAGCCTTTCAGCACTCTAATTATTCGAGAGGTCGTCGCTTTATGACTTCTACTTTTTCAACTTCGGTAACTACTTTCTGAGATAAAGTTGCCACAAAAAGGCAACTAGACCGTAACTGTAAATAAATTTAGAGACCCCGAAAGCCGCGGAACTCTTGAATTATGCAGCGATAAAATAAGAAACTTCCTCGGTAAGAGAAAAATGTTGGAATTCCAGCTTTATTTCAAATTGGTAAAATTTAAAAATTGCATTTGTGCAGATGACCCTTAAAAAAAAGAGATTGATTTTTTGAAGAACTCAGTGAAATCTTAGTTTTTCCGAGCAGTTGGAACTCTTTGATGTAAATTGGCCTTTTGTTGTAAGATTACTACTATTAGTATAGCAATCTTAATCGTAGGTTACAATAAAGTCTCATATTAGCGATAACGGCAATGATAAAATTGGAGAGAAAATACTCTTTACGACAGCAATCGTATAATCGTGCGAAATTAACCACAATGATGCTGAGATATTCGCAAATCTTGGACTTCGGGCCAGATGAAACCACGTTTACCCCTTCCCGGGCCACGCGCATTACACACTGCACCACGGAGGCCCATAGCCAGTAAAGAAATCGGATTGGTAATCAAAGATCTCCCAAAACACAAGAGTTCAGGGCCATATAGCTTTCCAGGAGAATTCTACCAAACATTTAAGGAAGAATTAACACCTACCCTATTGAAAGCAGTGTGTAATGCGCGAGCCTCTGGAAAGGGTAATCGTGGTTCGATCTGGCCTGAGGTCCACGTTTTGCGAATATCTCAGCAGCATTGTGGTAGAATTCGTATAATACCCTGCCGTGAATACTGTAGTAGGCAGTAAATAAAGAAGTAAACGTATAATCGTAATTACTATAGTAACCGAAAAAAAAATAATAATAATGACAGTAATAATAAAATAATGAAAATAATAATAGTAACAGCTGTATTAATTTTTAAGAACGATAATACCGATTGCGTTGTTAAATTGTACTCGCAGTGGTTTCATATCCCTACTTGTGATATTGAGTTAAACAAAGTTAAACAACAAAAATTGCCTGACCTGAGAAAATTCGTAAGGATTTTCCCATTTTTGGTTCCTTCTAAATCGAAGATTTAATGGAAACTTTTGATAAATCGATTGCACCAAAGGCTACAATGTTCACTCCCTTATTGTTTCCAATACTTAAAGAAAGTATTAGGTCATTCTTAGTACTAACTGATCATGTAGAGATCGATCTATCTAAAGGACGGAAATCGAATCGATTGAACAGTAGTGCTTTGTCCCAGGACGCTACACTGAGTTTTCACCGAGAATTTTGTGATAAAGATTTTTTAAGCTATCCATTAAAAAAATTGCTTTATTGATGGAAAAAATTTTCTAACTGGGCCACACGCACCAGAAAAAATTACTTAAAAACTTTATAAACCTCACGACGAAAAATTCTTTTCATCTCATTGGCGTTCTTTTTCTCTGTCATTTCTCATCTGTTCTTTATTTTTTGCCCATTTTTTCCTTCACTTTCTTGCCATGTCGTTTTTCTTCTTAACATAATGTCGTATCGCCATCACTTCGCCTGACGCCCGCTCGTCAGCCGGGGGCAGCACATACCGCCGACGGCGGTGCATAGGCCACGCCCCTGTCTGGGACGACCAATCGGCGCCCGGCGGAAGTCGGCCGCGGCACCGCCCATCGATGCGACGGCACACAGTCCGATTAATGAGCTGCGATTTGTTAAGTGTGTCGTGCCTATGACGTCATCCGAGTTTGCTGGTGGGCCTACGCAAGGCCTAAGCGGCCTAGGTGCCTTCTACTACGATCCGTCACAAGCACAACAGCAACAATCCGCAACTGCCGCATATTTTCCGCAATCCGCTAATGTGACATCAACTACGAACTTCGCAAATCAGACTTCTGCCACGCATGATTCGGTAAGATAGAGCGTTTCGGTCGTCTTTTTTTTCTTTCCAACCTTTCTTTTACAAAAAAACAGTCTATCCGTGAAGGTTTGTTGACTTTCGTTGTCGCACAAAGCACTGTAATAAGTACATGTCAGGTTACTCAGTTTCTGTTGCATAGTTACTCTTTCAGTTTTTCTTAAACGCTTCCTCTGGTCTTAACCCCTTAGCACTTTTGTTGAACTACATAAACAGCTGCATTTTGTGTCGATCAATACGAGCACTCACGTTTCGACAAATCAATACAACATTCATTTAATAAAGATGATGAATATTGTATATCATCCAGTTTGCTTCACCAGTAACTTACGCTTCTTGATTGTATCAATATTCAGTGACAGATTATCCATTACTGCACATCGATCATTGCGTTCCCGTTTTTCCACATCATCATGGAACTTTACCGGTTTTCACTGGCAGGCGAAGTATTAACTGAAAAAAAGCCTGAAACGATACTGTTTCGATGTGCCTCCTAAGAATCACCGTGGTTGTTCGCATCATTGTCGTTTCGAAAACGAATCTGGGGCTCGAGCTCATTCTGTCGTGCGTAGCCGGTCGATTCGTCGACGACGTCGTCACATGATGTAGAACATCGTCCAGGCATCGATGCCAGGAAGAACATGAAGAATGGTGTTCAGAATGTTCATGCTTCGGTACCCGTGCTTGTGTGTGTATGCATATAACTGTGTGTATATGCATGTGTATGCGTGTATGTGTGTGTGGATGCAGATTGTGCCGCGTGATAAACGACCATTGACTAAGAACGACGATCAGATGGTGATGCCACACTGAGGGCGCACAGCGTATTAATCACTGGCCGCGCTGTTCCTAGATTTACGACTCCTCCAACACTACCACTACCACCAGCATCACCGCTGCCACCACCAAAAGCACTGTCGGAGCTGGTATCAGCACTAGTCCTGCCACGGAAGCCATTGCCACTGGCGGTGATGAACGACCACAACTGTTCGTTACGACGTCGACAGTGTCACTGAATTCCTTTGCATGTTGCTCTCACTGAAATGCCATCAACAAATGAACGTCACATCTCAAAAGTCATTGTGTATCGATTACGTATTCGCAATCTGTGTTGTTTCGGCGTAAATCGATTGACATCGTTGGGCCGATTCCTGAAATATTCCTGGCTTGCTTCGGTTCTTCAAGTTGATACTTGACCATAGTTACCTTTGAAAACAATATACCCTAACCGTCTTAATGAAGCAAGACGTAATCTGTGAAAGGTATTCTTAAATTTTCTAAAGTTAAACAAAAACCGTCTTATAGTGTCATTCTTCACTTGAACCTGACGAATATCGCAAGACTTCGTTCGTTCACCAAAGCAGCGAATGGACTCGAACACTGCGGATGCTCTGCTCAGTGCTGCTGTAACCTTCCTAAATATTTCTGATCTGAATAGAGAACAAAATCTTTCTACGTTTACTCAATATGAGAAAAGAAGGACGTTTAATGGAATGAGGAGCTGTGAAAACAGCCAGATTTTCATCTTGTGTAATAAGAGTAAACGCTTGAATACTCTTTAGTGAAACGACACTTTTGAGGTGGTTTTTACACTTTGAAATCATTTCCGATGAAAGAGAAAGATTAAAGAAATATTTTTTGTTATAGTTACACAGCATTTTTACATTCTCTTCTTGTAACGAAAAAAACTTTTGCAATTTATCGGTCGTTAACGTAATTCGACCCACGGTCAACAGCCCATTTTCCTCTGCTGCTGTCGAACCAGCTTCCATCCTTGCTATTTTAATATTCATTTAGTAAATGTCCTTCATCTACCATCATTTTCACTTTTTCTTCTTGAAGTTGAAGCATTGCAGAATCTCTGCTATACACAACGATCAGTGGATTGGACAAAAGATGATAAAGATGAGAAGAAAGACGGTGATGAAGAGAAACCGGGTGTTGCGGCTGTTTACCCGTGGATGACCAGGGTTCATTCAAGCTCCGGTGAAGGTTATTTCTTGTCTTGCCCGCTCATTTATCTGATTCATTTCCTTCTATTTTACCACATTCGTCACATTTTTTTCATTTAATTTCTTTCTCATATCTTTTGCTAGTCTTTTCCTAAGCCCATAAGGTTAACACGTTAACGGTTACAAGTTCTTAAAACAACCTCTTAAAATCAATGTTTGAACTAGTATCGTCGTCTTCTTTCAACCATTGTTGCAGTTACACCATTATTAACAGAATAATAACTTCTTTAGAACAACGGTTTTTTATTCGTTACATTCTCCAGTAGTAATCCATATATGGTTTCTCGTTTCATTGGATATACCGTAGCCCTGAAGATTCGCGATGGATGCACTTTAGCGCGCGTCAAACAGACCCGTGTTATTGATTCTTTTCCATTCGACCATTTTAATTAGATTTCTCAAGTCTGTTGTCTAATACATTTACGAACGGACATGTTAGCTCATTAGAGGTTCACCTTTGTGGCTTTTGGTTTTGATTTCAAACGAATAGCAAATCTGTTACACATGAATCGATGCCCATTCTTATGCGCTTGTATATCGCTCTTGCTCCCGATCTACAACACACCGTAATCACAAATGTGTGTCCGGGATACGTTTTCTTCTAAGTGAGTCCAAGTCAATCAGGGTGGCGTGTAAACTATGACATTCAGCTCTGGCGCCTGATAACTGAAGGCGACGCCCGTTGGCCGTCGAAAATCGATTCACAATTAAATGTCTCGATTAAGAAGAATAATGACCACAAGTAGTAAATCTCGTTCATCTCCTACTAGCTATAGTTCAGCGTGAGCAGTTTACTGCGTTATCTTGGAATAGGCGCTCACTGTTTTTGAAAGTGTTCCGAAGTTAGAAATTAATCTTTCCAACCGAAATTGAACTGCTGAATCAATTATGATAGCGTTGTTTATTAATTGCAAGTGACAGAAACTGATATCGCGGGTAAAGTTATCGGAACAGAACTAATAACAATGATGTTTCGACTTAACATTTCGACCAACACGATTTCATTTATGGGGATTCGATTATTGCGATCATTAGAGACCATTTCGGCCGACCAACGATTCATTTCTGGTGGAATGCCTCGGCACAAACCCACCAGCCCGCTACCGTAGTCCGAAGGTCGAAGGCCGACGAGACCGGCTCAGCATGCAGGCACGCAAACACTTGATGCTATCTGTATAGGAAAGCAGTCATTGTTAACTAAAGTTTTACGGAATTCGTAATACTAGTACGACCTTTGAAAAACCAAAAGTTCTTTATTATGGTCCTCATATTTAAAGTAGCTTTGTTGGTCCATAATTCGGAACTTTTTGAAAGCAGGAGAAGCTATAAAAAAGAAACCATGGAAAATCCTTTTAGGTTGTTCCATACCTTTTTGATGTTAGTCAATAACTGACTGAGAGTTTGAAATTCTGAGTTGATTTTTAGAATTGACACTAAATCAACATGTTGTTGATCTAAGATTACATACCAGAATTAAAACGCATAGTTTAATACAAAACATAGACGACCACACGTTGGATTTTTATTCCCTCGACTTCATACATCTTGATACAATCAAGTTTCAATTGTACTCATGGGTTCGATAATTTGGTTTATAACGAGAGGGACCATTTGAATATTTTGGCACAACAATTGTTGGATAAAGTCCTTTAGTACTTCTTTGTTTGAAAACAAAATTTATTATGAATACAGTCTGACTTAGGACTCAATTATCCGGCCGACGTGCAGAACATCCGCTGATGTTCCGGTGCACAGCGCTACATTCGGGCTACAGTATCCGTCGCGTGCCGCACGGCAATCCCGTCCCTCTTCAGCTAATCGACGATTTATGCGTATGTTGACGCAGGCGCCTGTTTCAATTCTCGCGTCCTTCAGCGGTTTTTATCGCAAATGATATCACTCAGGGTATTGTTTGGGATCGGAGCACGTCTTTCTTTAAGGCTATTATCATCGAGAATTTAAATTCAATTTTTAGTCGAAAATATGAAACTTCTCGGACCAACGAAGCTACGAAGCGATTAGACTTTGAAATATTGTGGTAACCGTCTCGATCTAGCGATAAAGTGAAGGAGAAGAATTTTTTTGCTGTTAACATCGCAAGATTTCGTTCCTATAAAGATTTCTGCACCAGTTGACCTGATTGATGTTGGATAAAAACATGGAGAAAGAGGATAGAGGTTTCTTCGATCAGACGAGGTCCGAGATACTGTAGACGGCGTACAAGTTCTGAATAGACTGTGTAATACGCTCCCGAATCTGTCAAAACACGCTCGAGGTAATCGATCTTGGCTTCTTTGTGTCTGAATCCGCGCCGCCGCTGCTCTCCGTCACTTAATAAATCGGTCATGTCAAGTGCAGGAATTTTCCTCCAACAATCAGAAATTTTGGCAAAGGCACACTGAAGAAAAGGGCTTAGGAAAACTTATGGGAAAAGGAAGTTTCTCATGTTTCAAAATGGTGCCTTGCATCTTTATCAAAGTCTCATAAAGGTTTCATATTTCAGTGACTCAAACATAACAATTTATGACTTTGTTGCTACCTAATTTGTTTCGTTTGCTAAAAATCTCCTAGTAAAAGAACTCTATCTTATTACTCGTATCACAATGCTGAGATACTTGCAAAACTCCGAACCGCAGGTGTAGGCGGTGGGGAACGAACGCGCGCTATTGTCCTTTCCGGGGAGTAGCGCACTTCACCACCACACCATCCGGGTCCTATCTATCCTATCATTTTATCAAAAGATAGAAGGCAGACGTATTGTAAATGAAGGTATTATTGGCGACTTACTACTGTAAATGTGAACAAAAGAATCACCTTTGCATTTAATCCTATGAAGTTCAACGACGACCGCAATAACAGCTGCAACAACGGAGATCCGACCTGCGGAACAAGGACCGAAAAAATCTGTTCATTATCGAGCAACTAGGTATCTTTCCTTTGTACGGAATAAAGTTACCATAAATCACGTCAGTTGGGCTGGAACCAGTTAGGGGTTCTTGACGCTAATCTGGGATCCTCGACGCTGAGAGGAATATCTCAGAACGGTTGTCTCCTTAATGAGCAAAAATCATGATTATTTTGATGGATGAAGGTGTGCTTAGTTATCACTGGAATTATCACAGACATCTATCTATCATTCCTGTGTACAATTCGACTTTTCGACCTTTAACTACTGTAGTGGTCATCATTCGAATCTGAAATCTCCGTACTTCAGTTATTCATCAAGTTTACAGTAGTCGTGTGCCACACGATGTCACAACTACGGACGGCGACAGTCGGCGGCACATCAATGGCATAAAGGTTCGGCCGACGTCGCGACCTCGATAGTGTGCGGTTGTAAACTCAGGAGCTAATGATTGATCATCGCCAAACAAATTGTCGTCTACACATACATCTATTGATGGAAAAGTCTCTGATATCTTTAGAAACTTGCGTTCTATCTTGGAATCCATTATGCTCATTGAATTTTTGTGCTCTTGCTGTTCGAAGAATGCGCTAGAACACTCAATTACCGTCATGTACGGTTACCAACATGGATGTGAGACAAGAAGAAAAATCGTCTTCGTTTTCGATGCTGCCATATGACGCGGGTACTGGATCAGGCTCACTAGTAGTTAGGAGTATGATGAGCTACCAAATCATTACTCTCTCTTTAACATTTATGAGGACGGTATCACAGGGTTCAAGCAAACGATTTAGTTCTGTTTGTTCTGTAAACGTCCTTTGACCTGAAACAAGCTTGTGCAACGCCATACTATTCAGACCGTCGGTTTTTCTTTCGTTTGTTATGAAATAAGCGACATCACTCCACGGCAGTCAAAGTCTTCAATCGCGTTTCATCTGACCATTCGGCATCAATTCATGATTTTTCATGAGAGAGCAAAACATCCTGATTTCAACATATCACACAAAGTGCTTAAGACGAAAACAATTTCGAAAATGACATGTTTTTTGCCACTAATAAATCTTAAGAGTCATATACAACAGCAGCGCTGTTGGATATCTACAGCCCAAGCCGGTATGAGCATTTAAAACTTTGCGTTTCTAAAATAAAAAAGCGATGACAGTGAGTAATTTAATAACCGTCGTGGATGGCACTGCCAGCTTAAGCTCTGGGAATTATTTTACACCTGAGGAGAATCATCTATACCACCCATGACCTCATGCATTGTAGACTAACTGGAGCGGGTACAAGTAATTCTTATTTACACCCACCGTGGGCGCACATAGGATGAGAACGATACAATGTTCTCCCTCAACAGCGATTTTGCCTAGGAGGAAGCCGTGGATTTCCCACCAAGTTAAGCTACAATTAAGCTTTGGTCTAGCTGGAATTCCAGATTGAATTGTTCTTTCTTAGTGAATGGTACGTTCTCCAAGAGTGTTCACCCGTCGGCTCACTGTTGAGGAAGAACTCAATGAACAAAGCGAAAGGAACCACGGACCCGTGCATCCATCAATATTCGTCCGTCATTTCATGCCCCATACTTGATTTCTGTTCCAATCTTTATTCAGAACACAGTTTGTCATCCTCAACAACACCACCTAAAGTGCAAGAAAGAACGATTTACGTATTATGAAAAACACTCTACAAAGTGGGATGTTGCTCCATTTCGTTTCATTTCCTTTTTGTGACATAATAAAAACACCATAGGAGAATTGGAGGAGACCTCGTCCGAATTTCGTAAAGAACAGAATTACGTGATAAACAACAAGAGAATAGATCGTGTCGTCAATTCAACTCATTGAATTCGGCTCGATGTGTCAGATTCTGAGGAATGGCCGTGATTGGCGATCAATAGCTATCGAATACGTTGCTAAGACAGTGATTGTTACATTAAAGAGACAGGTGCCCTCTAAACGCCATTAATTCGTCCTCGTTATGATGTCGTCGCTAGTCGATCTATCGTCTGTCACAAATCCATTAATTCCTCTTTTTACCACGTAATATTCCTGGTCGGCACCATTTTTCATTCGACCATTGGTCGACGACAATATCCGACATGGTGAGATGAGACAATGAATTAGAAATTAGTGTCATATTTGAAAGAGGAAGCAAGCGAAAAGCTTAAGAGTACCTTCGGGAAACTCGGCATGGCGAACAGTTTACTAATTTTAAGCCATCCACTGTTCATGTGTAGCGCAATGGTTAACTCTCCATTTCTCAGGAGTAAACAATTTGGTTCCAGCTTATCTTAGAAGGTAGAAACATTGGCTTCATTCATCAGTAAGCACTACAGGTTATTCTATTGGTGAAATTCACGTTCAATCACTTCTACGATGCTAAGAATGAAGTCTAATGCGTTTTATTTTCAAGGAATCGATCTGCATCAAATGCTTCATCCTTTACTTTTTTACTTTTCCTCCGCATTACAAAATTGGCTTTGTACACTACAAGCTGGCTTTACTCTTTTCAGGGCAAAATTAGCTAAGCAATAATAAAACATGTTTCTGGAACAATTCCATATCACACTTTATCTCCTCTATGCAAATCCTGCCTTCCCTTCCTCCTACTTTTTCCACTGTTTGAATTACGCCAACACTTTCCATTTCGTCTTTCTTTGATCTCTCTTTTACTTTCGTTTTTACTTAGCTATTAATGTAAGATCTTTTATTTCACCCACTATGAGCTAGAATATTAAGCAATAATAATCGAACGAAGTAAAGAATCTAATGTTTACGAATGCAAGAGCTCAGATAGAAACCGATTTTCTTTATTTGTGGTCGCGAACTCGACCAAACTGACTTTTTCTTTGAACCCATTTGTTGAATAAAAAGAAAAGAGACATCAAGTTCTTTCTCCGATATAAAGAATAAAAAGGATAAGTCTCTTGGCGTTGATCAATCCCTGTGGGATCCGCCATGCATTCGACTTCATTAAGCGTCGTTTGGAGGTGATCAAATGCATATCTGGCCTTTACAATGACTCGCAGAGGCCTACCGATGTATAGAGTCAGCGTTGCTATCCTCCCAAACAAGTTCGGTACCAATTTGCCGACTCCGAAGGGATGAAAGGCTTGGCGGGCCATGGACGCGGCGATCAATTTCACATGCGTATTGCAGGGCGCCTCCGACCACTGCACCACACGCGCGCACTTTTACGATATAACAAAAAATTTGTAGATATGAGTTCTTTTTTTGATGTTTTTTAGCCATTAAAATTTTAAAATACTCTTGTCACGGTAGTGTTCGAAATGCATCCATAACCTTTTTTGTCTGTTCCTTAGTCATCTGTTTATATCTCTAGTAGATAAATCAGTCATTTAAAAATAACGGAAAATCTATAAAATAATTCCTTGTTTTTAGCAGTTTATCTCTCTACCGTAATTTTTGTTTATGTTCTTGTAATAGGAAAGATCCTCGAAAAAGGGCATTATGTGAGTTCGCAGTGCTCCAGATCGATTAGGTGAAAAGTGCAACAATAGCGAGTTTTAGACGACCAATAGTACTAACGACCGTTTAGAGTTCATTTTCTCATTATGACGAGACAGTCGGACAGCAAATAAATCATCCTTTTTTTTCTCGGACTCCCGAAAAACTACGGTATTGCGAAACGTTGACGACTCGTTTTGAGTGTAAATGTGGTCGCAGTGTCAGTCTGGTAAGCTGTGAACATTTTTCTTGACCCGAAGAAAATGAAAGGCGAAAATCCCCATTACGATACTGTTCACAGCTGTCAACAAACTATGAGATGCAAAAATATGTTGAATTTTGCTCTCACCTACTTTCATTTGTTGCCATGAGCGTCAGTATTATTCGAATCAATAGCAAATCTAAAAAGCCAAGCAGTGCTACCAAAATTTTTCAAACGTGACTCAGACTAAGTCCGAAACATAGGAGAACGTGATAGACTGGACAGATCACAGTATTTCGGTGGAGAGGGAAGCAGGTTAATCTAGGAACTTGCAATCAGAACCGACAAAGGCGTTCTTCAGCCTAAATCTAGGCATGGCAAAATGATTACGTTCGTCTTGTTTTTGAATCCAAGCTACTAAACTTAGAGATTCCCTATCTTACGATCTAGACGGTAAAATTCATTGGGGAAAAGTACATTTTTTGCTGCAAGATGGACCACTTCGGTTCTGAACAGAATCCGATTTCACTGGTTTCCAACTTTAGCTGGAATCGAAGCGATAAGTCGATTAAGCGGTTCGATTCGAACATCTGCATTCCCACACACTTCCACGATTAATTTGCATGTGCGGCTTGTCAATCCATCACCGATACTGGCCGCTTTGTATCGCGGGAATTACCAAGTCATCAGCCAAGATCCGAGCGAAAACAGGAAATTCAGTTATGGATGTAATTACAACGACTACAGTTGTAGATATACAATATATACATGTATGCATGTGCATATGCATGCATCCTTGTGTAGTTCATAGCAATCGATCGGATCATTCCTGAAGGTCGAATGTTGTTCTTGAAAGGTCAAAACGCGATATATCTAAAGGGTCGAAAGAGAAACAGCGTTGAGCTATGGATGACATGTTGGCGAACATTGGCAAGCTAATATTTATTTTGCACAACTTCTTACTTCTCATAATGCGACAGCTTCTGAATCGTCGTCTCAAGTCCGGAAACAGTGGAATCTTCTTCTAGTATGGTTACATTTTGACACACTAATAACTTCGATATTTCGCCAGGTGAACTGATTATTCATCCATCAAACTTTTCTTCGATTGACTTCGAATAAGAATGTCGAGCAGTTGTCATCTATACCGGAAAGCTGACGGGCAGAGAAAGCGTGAAAAGGTCGAAATGTCTCTAGTATTTCACGTTTAACAGAAAGCGTGTTATTTCTTCTTCATATTTTAGACGAACAGCTTTTCACGTCTATTGTGCTAATCCCATCACTTCTTGCATTAGATTCGTCTGCTCGCATCCATCATCAACAAAAGCCTTCCAACTTTTTGCATGCGGATTCAGCTATTGTTTGAGGATATTCCTCTCCTTATGAATGCCGCTGAATGCTGGTCGCCTTCGATTTTCGCTAGAGTCAGAGATTGCGCCGAATTAGAGGGTTTACACTCAGACTGCAAGGAATCAGCTTTTCCGGAACAATGTTGGCACCTATTTTTCGACCCCAGAAGTATGTGAGCCTTCTTGGCTGGCCTTGGATGAGGTGGGACAGGCACCGTGTTCACTACCACTATGCCACTCTCCCTCTAGAGAAAATATTACATTGTAAATCTTGAGCAACCGAGTAGTCGAGGCAAATGGGAATCATACAAATGCGAATCTTGTTTGTTTTCAATCGAAGATTTGACACCATCGCCTACGTTTTCTTGTTTATTTCTTCTCATTGGAAGTTGAAAGCTCAAATCGTTGTTTAAAAGATCAATGAAGAATTCGTTGAATTATGAACCATCCAGAAACGCAATGATACTCGCCGTTGCTGCCTTTGTGTCGCTTTCACTGGCGTTGTTGTTGTTGCTGTTGCTGTTGTTGTTGTCTTGCCATCGCAGGCCACCCAATTCCGACTGATCAATAACGTGTCCGTTGCAAAACTATTTATGGTGGTAGACATAAATCTCTGCCGATGTATGATGACACATTAAGAATTCAGTAAGCGTTAGCTCTGATTTATATCATCTTCCTAAAGACAAAAGGAAAACGATTAGACAGCCTTTAAACAATATGCTCTAAAATCAATTACCCGCCTATTCGATCAATTACTTTCTAACGTAACAAAAAGAAATACAAAAGCAATGTATTTATTAGGAAATTTCGTAGCGGAATCAATTCAAGCAATCAGCAAACAATAAATGAAACACTGAATTAGGAGAACATTAAAACAAATACGATAAAACCAAAAAAGATTTTTCTAGGGTTAGAATAACGAATATTAAAAGAAAAATTACTTATTTAGTTGTTTAACGTTGGCGATGAGCGGGAGTAGAGTTTATTTCAATCTCATCATGACGGACCATTATTTCTGATTTTTAGGTGGTTCGCGAGGTGAGAAACGACAACGGACAGCTTACACTAGAAACCAAGTGCTCGAACTCGAGAAGGTACCATCGTGCCTCTTATAATTCTTCTTGTCTAGGATCTTTCTCAATGAAGTTTTTTTATTCGTCCTAGTTCTTTGATTTCCAAACATTCTCTCTGTGAAAAAATCACGTTAATTTATGAAAGTATTGATTGAAACCTGGTTTATAAATTGAACAATGACATCGATTTCAAAGAAAAACTAGAGAGTTTCGAATAAATTATGTCAAAGGTCTTTAAATATATCGTTTTGTAAATCACTGATTCCTTGATAGGCATACATGAGGTCGTTGGTTTGCTATTTGTTAACAATACCTGGCCTTTCGTCTGGTTTCGCCTTGTACGAGTCCTAGAAAGGTCAACTTAACTACAACCTAGACAGGCAAATACCTCCAGAACCACAACCGAAAAAAACCCCCGATACCTAGAGTTTCATCGCGTTGGAATCAAAGCCGCTTCTTCACACAGTCACCATTCTCTCTTCACTGTGCATTCCACCTTCCACAGTATTCCATAGTCTCCCATCGAATATTCCACACACCAACCGTACAGTGCTCACATGGATGGCCAATGAGAGAAACTCGCGCGTAAATATCATCTTAAATATTGTGTAACATCACTCTTGGTGGAAACATTTTTTCTTGCTGTTCGTTTTTGGATTGTTGGGATTTATCCAGAATGCCTTAAAGGTTTACGCGCTAATGTTTTAGTTTTCTGTGCGAGGACTATCACACTTTCTACTTCAAGATCTTCCTCGTTATATGCCTGTGTACTATGTACACCTCATATATTCTGGTTAACTCTGTGCTTAGCCGTTTAGGTGCTCTTTGTACGGATGCTCGGTGGCCTACCTGTTTCGCAGCTAAATTCGTCCCGAACGTTTTACAAAAGATTTAAGATTTATGTTAACATCGTTTTATTCTGCTTTTTGTCCTTTACGATTTATCTTCTTTTAATGAAAATGCAATTTAAAGAAATTGTAAAATAAAGAAAGTAAAAAAGTAGCAAACATTGATGTAGTGCAATACTTTTCAGCTACCACAAAGCATAGTAATATTTGAAAACCGACTTTCCTTTAACCTCACTATGACTAATCAATATATGTTCTTTCTTTGACAAGCTTACACATGGCTGATAAGTGTTCTCGTGATGGCGTCTTCGTTGTGCATTGTAGAAAGTTGAACTGCAGTCGAAACGTTAGCCGAAAATAAACGTCATTTATCGACCTCGTGTGAGCTTATCAAAGAAAGAATACAATGCTTCTCGTTTTCTTGCAGGAATTTCACTTCAATAAATACTTGACTAGAAAGCGACGAATTGAAATCGCACATTCGCTAATGCTCACCGAGCGGCAGGTAAGAGCCGACCCAGTTTTTTCAGAAGACAAGTTTTGGGACACATAAATGAAAGGAACCTTAAATAAATAGTTAGACAGATGTTTGATTAAAAATCTATCATCTGAACTATTTAAGGAAAAATATATAACCCACTTTTTCGTCGTTCTCAAACAAATTTTCGCATTTTCAGGTTAAAATATGGTTTCAAAATAGGCGGATGAAGCACAAAAAAGAGAATAAAGTAAGGATGATATTTCTAGCTTTTTTCTCTTTTTTTATTTTGTTGTTATAGAATGAATAAACTGGTTTCCTTACCGGTTGGTTGTCCCTGCCCTTAAGGATGCAGCGGTTACGTGAAAAATGAACACCTGTCTACCGTAACGACCAACTTTTTTTTCTAACGAGTTTGTCAAATAATGGAGATCGCCTTGTGGGTAATACCTTACCAGTATAAAATACAACTACGACAGACCGAATGGTAAAAAAAGCGCGCTCAAGGGCAAATGACCTTATCTTGGACAACTTGTCCCATTAAAGGTAGTCGCGCGTCATTCTAGCTGCTACCGTGATCTGTGATCTTTGCGTAGAACACAGTCTATTTCGCTCGTATTTTTGTTGAGCAAACGCGAGGTGTTATTATTCTTTGTTCACGATTAAGCTGACGTTTCGGCGGATTTCGCCTTCCTCAGAGCCGCTTTCTATGAGGTTTCCACTAAGTATGTCACGTAGAGACCAACCGCACAGAAATCACGTGGAAGTATAATGTACATTTATATATATAGTACATTTATATATATAGTATAATGTACATAATGTAAGGCAGGAAGGCGAAATCCGCCGAAACGTCAGCTTAATCGTGAACAAAGAATAATAACACCTCGCGTTTGCTCAACAAAAATACGAACAAAATCACTTGATCAATGCCGAGGTTAATAGAAAGTCGGTCGTGGCAGTTACAGNAAACCCGCCGAAACGTCAGCTTAATCGTGAACAAAGAATAATAACACCTCGCGTTTGCTCAACAAAAATACGAACAAAATCACTTGATCAATGCCGAGGTTAATAGAAAGTCGGTCGTGGCAGTTACAGTCTATTTCTCCACTGTGGAAAGCTGCAGATTTCAGTGGCGGAGATCTATTTCGAATATTTGAGCTTTTGTTCTATGCACTTTATCGACTAAAGTCGCAATCGTTGAACCCGAACAATCCGACATCGATTAGTGTTCAATTTCCACTAGCAGATCTCGCACGACGCCGCGCGGCATCCTATGCAACCTTCGTGAAAGATCGCAGCGACAAATCGCTCGTCAAAAATCTGTGCAGAAGAAAAAAGTCTATGGCACAGATGTCGTGGACGATGACGGAACTGAATGTTGCGAAATCCGAAGAAGAACACATATGGCAGCCATCTGAACGGGAATTGATGAGGTGCTTGTGGTGAATTATGACGGCCATTACGATCGTTTCGAATCAAAAACATCATTTTCATTTTTTTTTTCCTTTCGTTTCTAGCGTACGATTTTGCAGAAAACTTGACCCAATAGGGAGCGTTGAAATTCGTGGAGACTTCCACCAAATGGATCCTTCCATGACCAGCAAATTTTTTGCGTCTAACCGAATCACTGAATTTGCGAGGTGCTGGAAAATACTCGGAAACTTGGACGGGCCGTCTTCACTAATTGTGCGCTCGCCAGCACAACCTCTATTTTTTCCCTTTTTTGGAGAGTTTCCGGTTGGATCATTGTGGTTCGCTCGGATCTCGAGGTCAACTTGGCCAAAGTCTGCTCTGGGTCCGAGAAATAATGGTATATATTTGAGGTGTTCTCCATTTTTCGAAGTTTATCCATTCCACTTGTCATATGAAAAAATCAGGAAACGGAATCATATGGACCAACTCACTCGTCAAGAATACCGTATCCTCTTAGATGTTCCTATAAAGGTTCCATTTAACCACTGCCTTAACTGATCACTATTTGTTAAAAATAAAAGCCATCATTTAGTTTCCATGAAAAAATATGGAGTCAAGTTGAGGTTGCATCGCGCCGTGGACAGGATTAAATGTGGATTAACCAATATTTATGGTAAACGACCTTGACGTGACTAATTAAAAATCATTGGTTTTATTACTATTATCACATCCTGTAAGACAGCAATAATAAAACACATATAAAAAGGATAAAAAATAATTTTTTGACGTTGTTCAAGCCTTGAAGGATGCGCCGTGCATTCAACTTCATTAAGTATCTTTGGAGGTAACTGAATGCCCATCTGACCCTTACAATGACTCGCGGTGGCCTACCGATGTATGGAGCCAGTGCTGCTATCCCCTCAGACAAGTCTGGCACCAATTTACCGATCCAGAAGGGATGGAAGCCTTGGTGGGCCATGGGCGCGGGATCGATTCCACGTGTGTGTGGCAGTGGCGCCTCCAACCACTGCGCCACACACATTACATACCAAAAAGCACACATACCACTTGACAATACTAAGATTTAAGTTTAACTGGTATATAAAATCCGTCCATCAATCAATATATCTATTTTCAGGATAAACCGCTTACACCACAAATGATGCCGTTTCCGACCGGACCGTTACCGTTTGCGCATTTGGGTTTTCCACGAAATTTTCTACTATCAAATCAATTCTGAATAGAAAATGTACTTCTTATCATCCGATGTCCATGCGATACGCGATCAGAAGAGCTTTCCGAAGGCAACTGAAGGCTTCTACTTCTTCTCTTCCTTTCGCCGTTTTTCTTCGTCTTCATCATCATCTTTTTTTGCCTACACGTGTAATCGCTTTTTATGTATAATGTCATTCCGATTGTGCTTATATGAAGCTTTAATTCCTTTTGTCTTGTTTTCTCGTTGTAGATCATATTTTATCGTGTTTTGCTTTTTGTTGTTTACCTTTCTTTTTCTTGTCATTCTTATCGTTGTCGTGTGTTTGTGTTTCCTTACCCACAGGGTGTGCTTTGAAACAAGGTTCTCTCGTTAAACAAGGTATATTTTCTCTAGCAAAGACAAGGTATTTTCTTTTCTTTTAGCTCATGTTTTTCCTTTTTCTTTTCTTGTTTTCACAGGGTATCACTGTGTGCATGTGTGTGCGTCGATAAATATATTTAAATATGAGAATTGTTTCTGTAGAAAATTAAGATGTGAAGATTTATGAGCTGTCCTCGCCTTGAGTTCAGAATCTCTCGAATAGAATTTCGAATATTCGACTTGAGCTTCGAATATTCTGGTCAAGATCCTTCATTTTCCGTGGCATACCGTTTTAATCAATCATCTCTCAAATCCTATCGCTATTTTTTTTAACCTCTTTCTCTTTCGCTTCCATTCTCATCCCATCACCCTCTTTACCGCTTTATCCCTCTCCGCTCCCTACTAATTGCTATGTATCACTCGCCCTCTCTTTCTCCTTCTCTCTCAACCTCTTGATGTCCCTCGCGCTATTTTAGCTCCACGCTTTCTTCATTTCTGATGTTTCTTTATACATTTCATTTTCACATTGTGATTGTTTCTACAGTCTTTTTTATGTATCAGAGAATAAATACAATTTTTTGTGTTCTACATTTGTAATCGAAGCAAAAGCTTTTCTTGGAGAAAGGAACCATTTTTTCCACTGGCAATTTTTACAGTGACATCTGAGTTATTTCAAAAATCAACGAAAACGCTCAAGAATGACAGTCGCTGGAGCTAAGTTGATTTACGGTAAGGTAGTGTTGTTGAAGTACGGCGACTGCTCGCTGGAAACAGAGGAAAATTTCGGGAATTTCGTGATTATTAGTCCTACAAATTTTACCAAGAGTTCCTTCCATCAACTGCAATGGAGAAAAAGTCAGGAACTCTAAAGTGAAGAATCAGTGCTAGGATTTAGCATTTTGAAATAGGGTGTGTTGCAGATGTTTTCAGTCTTTTTATAGTCTGTGCTATCGAAACTACAGATTTAGAGATAAAAACAAGTGTTAAGGACCCTTGCCGCATAAAATTTTCTTCCTTAAATGATACCGTTGGATGTCTTCGAATGGAAAGTGGTAGGAGTTAAGCATCCGGCAATTATTAGCAAAAGATTCATCAGAGCCATGGAGATCGCCTTCGCGGTCACCTCGATCGGCATAGTGGCCTCAGATGAGGTTTGCTTGAAACAATAGTAAATTGTGATCGAGTAGAACTTTGTTTTCGGCAGTTAACCTTCATTCCCTCATGTGATAGGAGTCTTCTTCAAATAAAACGTGCCACTCGTTTTTGAGTAAACACTACCACATACGGCTCACGATCTTTCGGCTTTATCGATTCGATCATATTACAGAATTGTTTTCAGCAAAAGTACTTCTCCTCTGCTTCGTTTTCGAGCCTGTAAGTAAGGAAAAACCTTCAAACTTTAATAAATCAAATGTATCTGGTTTCAGCAAATAGATACAAGCTACAAAGAATATCCAGTACATAGAATCTTGAGCTGTCAGTGTTATATTTTTATAATCGTTAAGATCTGCTCCCATTTTGGTTGTTGAAATGGCTTTCGCTTCTAGATATGCACATGGCCCTAGGCATTTCTAATTCCCAAACTTTGTTTCTACACTCGTGTTTATCTCTATTTCTTTAAGTTTCCCATCCTTTGTAAGCTGTATAATACCTAAATTGTCAAATACACAAAGTTTTTGAACCACACCACTTATAAAAGTTTGCAATCGTGATGGTAATTTTCCCAATAAAAAGAAGCGCTGAGCCATATCTGTACTTATTTATAATAACCCAACAGGGGTAAATTTTAAGAAAAGCTTTACATTAAAAAAAACACTTCCATGTTATCTTTTCTACCTATGATTATTATAAGAATGCTTCTAAAAAAAATTTAGCTCTAAAAAGTTAAGCTTTCCGTTTCTTTGCTGAGCAGACTTTTTAGAACTCTTCAAGGAATACTATTCTTAATAGATATAGAAAGAAATTCATATCCATCGAGTCCAACGATGGAGTTGAAAAGCTCCAGCGCTAAATAATCAGCAGATTACTCAGTGCTTGTTTAGAAATAAAAAGCTCAAGCGTTCGACATGCTTAAGATCAATATGATATAACAGTCCATAGCCACCAGTGGAAATATTGTATCAGCGGCCATAAAAAGATAGATCGCCTTATTTTAAGTGAATATTTTTGCCAAATGCACACTTTCCATTCATAAGCTTTAAAAATACTGTGGTAATCCAGCGCTTCATTACTGACATCTAAAGCATTTTCCGAACCTCCCCGTGTGTCCTTTTTCCATCCGGCTTTTAGCAGGACATCACAAAGTGTTTCTTAGCAGCCGACAAATCATGGACTCCATTGCAATTTGCCGATCACTGAGTAATAATTTTATATTGGTCGGCTGCTTCATGAAGGCCTAGTTTTCATTGATAATTACGCATGAGAATAGAAGTGAAAAGAATCTAAATTACTAAGTAAGAATGAAGTCACTCTTCTCGTTTAGATAGTTTAGCTGATTCTGGATTCAGAAAAGCCCGAAAGATTTCACGTTGAGTTTGCTTGCGTGAGATTAATTCTTGATCACTAATGCTTAGCCTGAAACATGCATTGTAAGATTATTTCTGTGTTTCAGAGAAAGCACAGCGTTTAGAAAAATCTTATTAGTGAAGCATTAGTAGAGTAGTTTGGGGAAGATCTCTTAGGCTAATTGCCTGCATGGCGAGGAATCGATTACGGTAATTG